GAGGCATGGTCAATAAATAAATACATTTTTTTAAATTTAACACCCAGAGTGCCTCGTCATTACAAACTTAGTGTGGTGATAAAAACAAATACAAAGTGGATAATTGTTGCCGTGTGTGAGCAACCATATAAGTAGCAGAATTGTGGAGCAAGGTAGGCTGATTGTTTTCTATCTGCCAAGGTATTGTCATTTTAAAACATTGGTCAACAATCCTTGAAAAATGCTGTGAACTTGAAGGAGAGTTTTGGGGAATGCGTCCATTCCCACGATGAGTCAGCATACACAAAGGCGTTGTCAGCTACCCGCCGTCTGGCTGGTGATGTCTCCTCAATTCCGATTGACCCATGTTCGATTGGACAATGTCTCGACGCGGAATATTAATACGCGTAGCCTCTGTGTGGCAAAGGCTTCCTCGAACTTGCTTTGTGTGAATGCACGCTACTCGTGGTTGTTCGCGTTCTCTTGCTTCTCTCGCAAGGGCCTTCGGTACAGCGGTGGGGCTAGTTCACTGTTCTTGCTTATACCAAGTACCAGGCGTGGACCATAACAAAACACCATAGCTGAAGCTAAGTTTGGAAGTTGACATTTGTGATGGAATTAGGAAGGCGCTATTTAAACAAACATAATAGCAAAACAAAATTACGAAATCTGTTCAGATAAAACGTAACATTTTGTGATAATATAAGCATAAATTGTCGTATTTGGGTTAAAAGAGAGCGATTTTTTTAAATAGGCAGTGCAAAAAACGCCTGAGCTTCCCTTTTCAAAAAGATTGCAGGAGAAAAAGATAGCTTAGGAAAATAAGATAAAGGGCTAGGGTAGGTTAATACTGTAATTGCAGTTCAGAATGATACAATGAAACGTTTATATAATTCGCTCGTGGTTGAAAATGCGTCCGTAATGAAATCTGGGGAAAAAGTGTCAGTGGACTTTGGTCCTCCACTGCTCAGCAGACAGAATGGAATTCTGGTGATAATTAGTAGCCAACGAAATTAGAGTAGTTTAGACTGTGTAAGTTCATATGACTTCCATCGTTTGAGTGACCGGGAAATCGAGCTTCCTGGATGACACGATGCAGGGAAAATAGTCTCAGGAAGGCCTACTTAATTCCCGATGGCGTTTCAAAATTCATATTTAATAGGCATTAGCGACAGGAAGGCACTATCTAAACTCGGAGTCATGTAGAAGGCTGCTCGGAAAAGATAAGGAAAATAAAAGATAAATGTGCAGCCTTCGTTTAAATGCAGATAGACTAGTTAATGACGCAGTTTCAATTGGAAAGATATTCCAAATAAAGCTGTAGCTTAAAGCATAGAATGGGGAGTGTTTAAATGTGGACGATGCAGGAGGAGATATACACAACGCGAAATTTTTTGGGTTGTAAGTACGAATAATGGGGGTAAGGAGAGAAATTTTGGGGAGCTTTGAACAATAATTAAGGCAAAAAGGAGGCACAAGCCTGCTTTTAGTCTCCTGACCCAAATAAATTTCAGTTTTGTTAGCTGGCACCTATTCGAGTAGGAAGTATTTGAAATTGTCGGATTAAGCAGGTTTCATGTGAAATGTCTTTAGGCAATTTCAATTTTTGAACAGCTAGATTATTTAATTAGACCGAAGAATGGGCAGCAGTATTCTAGAATGGGAAGCATAAACATACGATCAAGTCTTAATTTCATTTCAGGAGGGTAGAAGTTATAGGAAATAAAGTCGCAAATCTGAGCAGCTTTGGCCGTATTCAATCGGCATGAGAGAGAAGAGAGAATACTTGCTTTATTCAAGTTGAAAAATCATGAATTTTCAGTAGAATTGGCTTTATTTCATGGAGGCAAAGATACAATTTATTGGTGAAGCTTAAGCCTAAGTCTTGATAGTGGAACATTCAGTCCTTGGGCACCCTTAAAAATAATAGGTTGTGACAACCCTTCATGTCCAAACCATATCTAGCGACACTTAGAAGTTGAGAACTCCATAAGACACATGGAGCTCCGGGCAGAAATTGCGTCCTAGTGCGAGTGAGTTTATGCTACGCATCACTGGGTCGTAGATGTAGAGAAGGAGTGCACACACTTTAGATTTTCCGGCTGGCTGATAGCTTAAACACTTTATTGTGCAGAAAGTTCAGTTCAGCTTTTTAATCTCAGAGAAATTAATTTCTGATCGCGGTATATATCA